AAAAGCAAAAAACAAAAACTTCCTGGAAATGATGGCAATAGCATATGCTTATTATAATATTTCAATAAAAATCACATATGGATATTTATATACTACAAGACTCTAGCCTCCCGGCTCTCACCATTTGCGTGTCTTTAAGCAAGTTATTTAAACCTTTCTAGACTTTCATTTCCTCATCTGGAAAATGGGCGTAATCAATAATACCTACTGCCTGGGCATTAGTTACATGGATTAAATAACATTATTCACATAAAAATGCTTAGATAGTGCCTGTACTTAGTAAACACTTAATAAATGCCAGCAGGTGCTTTATTATTGTCATTATTTATTCATGACATGAATAAATGAAATTATTCATGAAATTATTATGTCAATAATTTATCATTATTATTAAAAAGGTTTCATTCTCAGACCTGTTGAAGCTGCATGGCTTCAAATGTAAGGTGCTATCATTATCATCATCATAAATCATACTTTCTTTCCTATAATACATGATTAAGGTATACTTTTCAGTTTATATTGTTGTGCCTATTTGAAGTCAGGTAAGCTACGGAACAAAGCACCATTCACCGCTTCATTTGACACTCACGACAACACTGACAGACAGAGAGAGACAGGGGAGACATGGTCCTCATTTTACAGATAAACTTCAGTTTTAGCTGAAGTTCAAGGAGGTAAGTGACTTGCCCAAAGTCACACAGCTGGTAACCAGCCATGGCAGGGTTCAAGGCCAATCTGTCTAACTCTTCCTTCAGGGCTCTTCCCATCATCTCAGGCTTTCCCAAAATAGCAACTTCATAATGTTTAATTTCAATCAATAAATGTGACCCTAAATGGGTTAGCGGAAAGACCGTGAACAGGAAGAGTGTAACATGAACACAGATCCACTGTTGTGTAGACACAAACACCGGAGGAATGAGGTGGGGTCGTTTAAGGTGTTTCGATGATGCCCTCATAGACACTGGTGTCACTACCTCCTCCAGGGCACAGGTGCCCCCAGTGCGATTACAGTATGAGCCAAATGGTGCTGAAGGGCCCACCCCCGTAAATACCAGAAAGCATTCATCTCACCCCCCCATCTGCTTGCCTTCAGAGCCCTCTCTATTTCTGTCCCAGGAAACAAACCGCTCTTTTATTTGCCAGAACCAGCCTTATCCTTCCCTGCTCTTTGCCTTTGCTCAAGCTGTTCCTCCAGAGGGAATAAATGCCTTTCCAAAAAAAAAATGCCTTTCCTCCAAACTCCAAATGGTCAAGTTCTACTTTTCCTCAAAAGCCTGGTTAAAGTCATTTCCTCCATGAAACACAA